GGTTTTCGAATCTTTCTTTGTGAGTCATGGGCAATACCACTGCTTCAATTAACTGTAAGGAAACATTTTTAAATACTCTACTTTTAATTTATAACCATGTTACCAACAGTAAATCAATTAATGGTTCGTAGTTAATTTACACATACATCATGGTAATACGATTCACTTTAATTAAACACGTTGTGCTGCTGACTTGTATGCACATTAAAAATCAAACTTTGTGTAATAACAGAAATTTTGAAAAATGAAAACTGCACAAATGAGTCAATCACTCGCACAGACTTTTCCACCTAATACAGTAAAACCTCTCTAAGTTGGACACTTGGGGTTCCAAGAAAATGTGTCCAAGATGGAAAGAGAAAAATCAGATTGTGGTCTAATGACAATATAATCTATTTACTTACATACACTAACTACTGTAGGCTTACTTGAATTAATAATTAATGACAATAGTATTAATAATAATCTTTTGAAGCCCATTCCCATGCATTGCACATTACACCCCAGCCTCAATAAAGTTAATTCCACCAATTTTTGCTTCCCCATCGCAAAAAGAAAAATTCCATTTCTGTTAACACACAGTCTAAACTCAAATGCAAGCACAGTACTGAGAAGTTAACACTGTGTCTTCTGCAATACTGTAGTCCAGTTAAGGGTTCAGCAAAAGAATAGTTAGTCCATAATATAATCCTCCAGAGAGGAGGTACTCATCAGTCAGAAATTCCAAATATGTAACTGAAAACGTTTCTCTGAAAAGCTACTGAAGCTAAGTGCATGAACCTGTCCAACTTACAACAAAAGGGGTGTTCAAGCTATAGGGTATTGTGGACATGTAAAATTATAGGATATTCGCCGGTTCCAATTAAAAGTGTTCAATATAAAGGAGTGTCTAACCTGAGGGGTTTTACCAACCATGAAATGTTTGAAAAGACTGAAAAGCATCGAAGTTAAGTGCATGAACCTGTCCAACTTACAACAAAAGGGGTGTTCAAGTTCCAGGATAAAGGGGTGTCCAAGATATAGGGTATTGTGGACATGTAAAATTATAGGATATTCGCCGGTTCCAATTAAAAGTGTTCAATATAAAGGAGTGTCTAACCTGAGGGGTTTTACCAACCATGAAATGTTTGAAAAGAAAGTTACAGAGGGATACCGTGACATGGCGCTTATTACCATTTCTCTACAATAATCACCAGTTCTGCCCCAGCAAGAAACCACTCCACAATAAATGTCATTACGGAACCCAAAAAAAAAGTATAAGTCTGAGACTGTGCAACACATCCCACACAGTCCTGACTCGTACACATTTGTACAGTTTTCCTCTCTTACTGCCAGTTTGGGTGGACGGCATGTGCACGTGTGCAGACCTAGCTGTTCAAATAAGTATTTTTAAACCCCCTCAACAACCGCCATAAAACGCCTTTACTCCCGACACTTCCCGCATGCTACACCTGTATATACCTCGCTTTTGGAATAACTTTGTGCGTATGTTCATGACTTAGTACTCGGACACAGGGAAACTTTACAAACATAGCGGACTCTTCTCAGTCATGGGTTTTCACATTGCAGTTTTGCTTATTCATAGGAATTTTATTGTGAAACTTTACATCACAATTTTACTGTTTCTTACCTCCTGGATCTGCTTGTCGAGACCGCCGATATCCGAGTACTGCTCTGTGGGACGTTCATCCACTTCCATAGCCTTCACTCGCGCATCATACTCCGCTGGCAAAGTCTCAAGAATCAGGTAAGAATCTTTGTTAACTCCTACTAGGTCACCTGGTTTTAAACGTTCCGCATCTACCAATCCAATCACTGGTAAGAAGTACGTCTAAAATGAATAATACAATTAAACCAGGTGTATGACGGCAGCCGAGCGAGGGATAGGAAAAGGCAGTACAGAAGTGATCAAAATCCGGTGGGAAATGAGCAAGGATTTCTCACCTGACGTGTTGAGGTTTTAATAACAGCGCACTTCCCCTTCCTCTGTGAATCAAGATCTACCACAGCACCATCTTCCTCTCCCTGATCCTGAGGATCCACATCTAGCAACTTGATAAGGTATAAAAAAGAAAGTTGGAAGTATTACCATGATGATTACTTACAAACAACACTTACTTAATACTACACAAAAAAAAACTAAAGCAGATAACAAACTTTCACAGTGATTCAACACTAATGTCGATTTTGGTTCAGGGTGATGCTGTAATGGACAACTTCCAACATCTTATGGAAAATTGTGTATGTCCATCTTTGACTTCATCTTGAAGATGGAGACAGTATGGCTCTCAAAAAAAGCCTACATTAAAAACCACCCAGAATCCAAAGGATCCGTATTAGCACAAAAAAGTACATCATAAATACCTCAATAACATTAGAAACTAGATATGGTAGTGTTTTGTTGACTTTTATTTTCTCTGTATTTTCTTTGATCTTCTCATTCTGGGCTTGCAATTCATGAGAGATTCTCATTACTTCACTTTTCATAATTTTAATTTCATTATCAAGGAGTCTCGTGCGGCTAACGATTTCATCCGTTGACATCCGCAGAACATCTTCTCCCAATGATTCCTGAAAACACACATTTATTTAACAAAATCACTTGTAAATAACCCACTAACTTTCTGTAAAATAATTTTACTTCCAGCATGGTAGTAAATCACTGCTGCCCTGTTATAATGTGCATCATATCAACTCCTGGACCAATACATTTGAAAATTTTGGGCAGCATTGGAAAAAATATATTATATGGCTTTCTATGATATAACAATAGAAGCAACTTAAAATGGAATGTACAAACAAATTTATGCAGATTGTCAGCATATTTTCTGAGACATATATGCTATGTCAATACAAAGCTTCCAAACTATCAAGCCCTAACTCTCATGACACTACAGCAATAGTGGGCCCTGAGCAAAGTATGATCTTTGGCCCATGACTTTTCTTCTCAAAGGCAAGACTCAACCACTTGACATCAGAATAAAATTTATTAAATGGATCCTCCAAGCAACCACAAAATCCTCAATGTTTTCCACCTACAAATTGACACCATTTTCATGATCTACTTCACAGTTATCTTCACTGCTATGTATTTACAGGGAAGTCATGCCATTATACAAGTACTTATAAGTCTTAAAGAAGAAACTAGCTTACGACTGGTCTGTGTTGGTGCAGGTATTACATTTTGGCCATGTAGCTACTACTTTTCCCCAACTACTGATTGTGCTCCTGACATCTACAGAGTCCACACACATATTCTTTAGATGCCTAGAAATAGTTGGGGAAAGTTTAAATACATGGTACCGAAGCTCATAGAGAAACTGGAAGTACCTTTGTAGAAGCAATTAAATATTACATTAAATGCAAGTGTTAGAAGTGGGAATGGAATATAAAAATTATCGTCAGTTATACAGCACAGACTAAAACCAAACTTCATAACACTTGAAGCTTTAACAAGTAATTATATTTTAGTCATTACTGTGATACAACTTACTTCAGCATCTTCCCAAATAGACTTATCTTCTAACGTAACTGCAGCCATAGCAATATTCGTCTTCTTGTTACAAAGCAATGACTGTGTAACAACTGTGTACGGTCAAGCAGAGCAGCCAATATATCACACAAAATGTCCCACCTGACACAGGGTACTTAGGATGTTGGTCTCATTCTATATTTCAAACTGTCTCTATGCTTTCGCATAACCTGTGTTACCGCTTTTCCACAGTTGGAAGGCAAATGCCAGGGTATAACTTCAAAGGGGCACGGCCCAGATCCTCAAATAATGACCGTAAACTTCTGCCAAACTACATGGCGCAGCAACACAGAAGATAGCCATCTTCCTTCTCATCCTGGTAACTACTTTGCTTAGAGGTCGCAAGGATCTCTGAAACGTCGGCAAACTTCTACACTGTGCAACAACACAGAAGAGAGCCACCTTCGGACTCACCGTCACGTGACCTTAAATCCTAATAGGAAGAGAACACAAACTGCGTGTTTATCACGAATATGGCAGTTCACAGATTTCGTCATAACATGTATGACTATAGAATTCCACGAAACTAATGTTGTGGATTTGTAAATTGTGAGCCAAGTATTACTATTGCCACCAATTTTTGGTTTCTAAAAACGAGATCGTAAATAAGCTGTACTGAAGAAGGCTAAATGCAGGTTTGTGCGAAAATCTTCTTTATTAACTGAATTAGGGAAATTTTATACTTTGGTATCGTATTTCCGTTATGGCGACACTGGGGCCAAATCAATATGGTTACATGTGCAAGTTATTAGTGAACAGGCGTCGCAGCGCATGTGATACGGTCGCAAAGATGTTGGCCTTTGGACTATAAGATATATTATGATTGATAGTTCATAGGAGTAAAGTCGACATTAGTATGCTCACTGTGTGGTATAAAGCATCTCTCCCCAATTGAGGCATTTTAAAAACACGGTATTTTTTTACACTCAAAAATAAGTACTAATTCGATTGTCCTTGGATACTTCAATGCTAATTGTTTATCGCAGTCTTGTTTCAGAGGGACTTGCGTAGTTAAGGTTTTAAGTATTATCTAGTTGAAATGGTGAAGTATTTCGAAACTACGTCTGTGTTCCGTTTTAGTTGGGATCAAGTTGCTCAAGGATTCTGGAAACGTTATCCAAATCCTCACAGGTACGGGATCAGTATTTTGTTTCAGAATGAAAGAACATTCCTTTCTTATATTTACACTGGAAGATATGGAATTTGTAAGACATAAATGAAAGCGCTTGTGTCCTTTACAAAAGATACATGTATAATATCAGTACGGGAGAAACAAAATAAGATGCAAATTAAAATAGAATTATGCTATTTCCCTTGTATTGAAGTGATTAATTTTTTCTTTCCAGCAACCATGTCTTGTCTGAAGACACCATATTTCGAGAAATACGAGGAAACAAACTATTTACCAAGCGCCTGCTCACCAAGACCAACAGGGTTCCAAAGTGGGGAGAGCATTTCGTTAATGCCCGCACTGTTAAGATTGTTGAGGAGTCTATCACAGATCCAAAGGAGAAAGTTCTAATTACATATACAAGGAATATTGGTTATGTTAGAGTAATGGTAATTGGTCTTTTATATATTTTGATTTGCAATGGAATTTGCATACTTTTAATAATTACTGCCAAATTTTTTATAACATTAAAAATGTTAAAAATGCAAATTTGTTTATATCAGATTATTAGTTACACTGTAGCACACCTGGTTTGTGTGCCATGTTCCATTTGTGAAAATTGTTTATCTTACACTTAACATAGAAATATTTTCATGTAAAAATGAAAACTTGGAGGAGCTTCATGGAAATTTGCAGTAAATTGCTTTTACTGAGTATTCTGTGCCTACCCCAAACAATTTTCAGATCCATTTGGTCAAAGTTCAGTGTGGGGTAATATTTTCTCAGGAAGACGTTAATGGCCAAGCATAAAAAATACTCCAACAACAGATTGGCATATTCAATGAAAATGGAACTACATTACTTTTGTAAGTTGGTTTTCATTATTTACTTCTTGGTTGTGATGCTGTAGGCAGATATCAGAGAATCTTACTGCCTCCATCTTCTGGGCAGAAAGTGGAGACAGTAAGTTTCTCCGAGATGTTGATAATGCCTATGAGTCTGCATGGCATCACAACTCAGAACAACACTGTCCTCCTCAATGTCATGAACACCTCCAATTTAAAGTTAATTATTATTCTCCTCCCCACTACATGGCTTATCATCTATATTTTCCTTTCCAGAGTATTGTCGAGAAAGTTGTTTACACGGTAAGTAGAGAAAATCCTAACTGGACAGTCGCCGAGCGATCAGCCTGGATTGATTCGCAGGTCTTTGGTTTTGGGAGAGCCATCCAGGCATTTGGTCTTGAAAGATTTCGTAAGAATTGCCAGCAGATGGTGGGAGGATTTAACTATGTCCTAACCACCATGTTCCCCAACTCTACAACAACTCTGTCTCATATGACTTCTGACGAGGTGATGACTTCAAAGAAGGAAACTTTGAAAGATGCTGCAAAAAAAGCCACAGACCTCGCCAAATCCAAAGCGGGACCAATTTATGCATCCTGCCAACCGAACAAGACGTAATTCCATTTGTACATTACTGCTGTAGTTTCATAAGGCACTGGTGTTAGAATTGGCAGATTATTAAATTTGAATTAAATAACAAAGCTTTCATTTAAATTGTTATCATCCTTCAACATGGTGATCAAAGTGAAAGATTTTCCACTTTCTTAAGCTACCTCTCGTGCACTATGATCTTTTTGAACACATATCAGAGGACCGAAGCAGTGCTTATAATGTTGCCACATTTCAGCACTGAAGCATCTCTATTCCAGAGACGCCTTTAAGTATGACTTTTTCATGCATCTTTAAATCACCAGAAATATTCCTGATCAGTTGATCATTTTCTATTTGATAATATACTTCACTACACAGTATTTGCATGTGCTGGGATACCTCAGTGAGTATAGTGACTAGCTACGGGCTGGACGACCGGGGTTCGATCCCCGATTGGGGTAGAGGATTTTTCCTCTAGCCTCTGCGTCCAGAGGGGCTCTGGGTCCCACCCAGCCTCCTATCCAATGGGTCCCAGGGGTAAAGCCAGCCGGGGCGTGATGCTGACCACTCACTCCGATCTAGTGCCGAGGTCAAGAAAGAGAGGAGCTATACCTCCACTCACCCCAAGCGCCTGTATGGCACGTAGCTGGACAAACTTTACTTTACACAGTATTTGCACTGAGAAAGTGGTAAAACTTGTGATCTTTCATGTTAAGTTCTGTTCTATTGTCTTATATAATCTTGAACATTACAAGGTCACTAGAAAAGTTTTGATGTATTGGTCAAGCAAATGAAAGCTACTGAGTGCAGGAGGAAGTTGTCTCATGTCTGATGTATGAAAACATTACATGATAGAATGACTATATTATTTATACTTGAGCAACATGTACTTATGTCATTATTGGTGGTATACGTTACTATTATTGAAGAATCTGAATTGGAGATATTTTATGCATTTGTATTAGCATGAATTTCATATAAGAGCTGTACCAATAGGTAAGTCTAAGCTGCAACTAACCAGTGTCGTGCAGCAATTGCGTACAGCTTCGAAAGTGGCCTGCGGAACTTTCAAAAGAGGTTTCCCGGACATTGGTCTATCATTCCAATATTTTACAGACTTCAGGGGGCAAAAAATAGTCCCCGTGGCATATATAAGTCCAATATGTGGGGAAGAAAGTGAACTGCTTGCGGCACAAAACAAGCCCAGTTGAAGTTGTCTCTTGCATGATGCAAAATACATCAGCTAGAATGAGTGCCTGTTCAGAAATAGTTTTGATCATCATCATGCCCTTTTCATATCATGGCATCAGGCAATTTCTTTTTGTTTCCATCAATAAAGTATTACCTTCAAGGCAATCAATTTTCAAATCCTGAAGATGCCATTGATGGATAGAAACAAATAAACGAAGTGGCACTTTTGCTTCCAGTATTGATTTAGGAGGATGGAACACTGCATAAAATGAGGGGATTAATGCAATGGAAAGATCTAACTTGCTGTTGGATCATGTATCTCAAAAATTTCCTAGCTCTGTATCATTAAATGTTTCATTTATATACAGACAGCAGTCAATGCATAATGTTTGTTTAGAGAGAGTATTTCCATTTATTGTAGATATATTTTTATGTAAATTTTGTTTTGCATTTGAGAAAAGGTTCTTATTGCATAGCTTGCGACGTGTAATATATAAGTAGTAAAACATGTTATATACTACATAATGAACATAATTTTTTTTTGTATATGCACAAAACTGTGCAGTCAAATTCAAGAATGGAAATGTAGTATGAATGCTTTTATAAGGCATGTAAGTATCCTTGATAATCTGATCTTTTAGAGGAGCTAAATAAGATACTGACTGCTGTACATAGTGGCTGGCAAATTTAGAGACAAACTGTCGACAAGAAAATGACACAAAAGCTTGAAATGGGGATATAAAGCATGTATACAAACAAAACTGTTTACACTTCGAAGGACACTAATGCCAAATGCATTTCGACCTCAAGAGGTCATCATCAGTGACAAAAAACAAGTTAATTCATATAATACAAATCAAACAGATTATGGTTTTTTAATGGTGTAAAAGGTACGTATTTTACGAAATCACATTTATGTAACACCTCACTGGACGTTGATTGCACAGGAGTTGGTGTATTATATTGGGCACTTAGCTTTTATGTCCACTGGCCTGATTGCTGTTGTTGGTCTATGGTGAGCCTGTGAACTTCAACGATGCGTGGGAGTTACTTGACAGCAACACCCATGCATCGTTGAAATTATCTCAGTAAAAAATGGACTTAGAATGTTGTTCACATACCTTTCACCATTGACTGTATCATCAAAAGATAGGTCCAATTATTTTGTAAGGCCATCCGCCTGCACAGCCACTGCTTCTCGGTCAGACAAGAATTGTTCCACTGTGTATTATTATTATTATACCTATTTATAAAAAGGGTGATAAAGTGATTAGTTATGATCAAGGAATATAAATTTTACCAACTACAAATCAATTATCTCATGGTTAACTCCATACGCACACAAAATTATTGGGTCATCAGTTGTGGATTGCAGTATAATATGTTAACTACTGAGCACATATTCTGTATTCATCAAGTACTGGAGAAATTACCGCCATACTGATTTCAAGAATTGCATTAGCTGCAACAGTGTCATGGCATGAAAAAATTCAATATTCCCATTGGTTTCATTGTTATTTGTGTGAAAGGGTTCATGTGTAGTAGTTAGGGTTGCATTCAGCACTATATATTCAACATGTTATGAAGGTGTAGGGCAGTGGTCCCCAACGGGGTGCCCGCATTGTTACGGAAAGAGGTTATACTAAATAATGAAGGCCGTTCAACCACGAACATTATAGAATCAAAGCGCAGATCTCGACTTACTGACGCCCATCTTGACAATTGTTTGCGAGCAGCATCATCATCCTACACTCCCAAATTTGAAAAACTGGCCGATGAAATGCAGCGCCAAACATCACACTAACTTCCCACTTGAGTAATAATAATTGTACTTATAAAAGTACGTATTTTTGATCACACGGTTTCTTGTATCATTAAATGTTGTGTTGTTTTGCGTATTATTTGGTGTCCAGAGAAAAGAAAATTTGGCTTTGTTAATTGGTTGGTGCCCACCACAATCTCATAAACTCTCAAATGTGCCCGTAGGCACAAAAAGGTTGGGGACCACTGGTGTAGATGAATAATCAAGACACTAGAGGAAAAAAGTTAATATGGTATGATCACTCTCAATGATAGGGAAATATTCATATAACAGTTTTATTAACTAAATCAGACACTTAGTTGCATCTATGCAAGTTCATTAGCCAATTATCAGAGTATAGGTAAGTGATTCTGAATTTACTGTATCTTTGTGAATATAAGTCACCAGAAATTAAGAAGAAAATAAACAACTCTTAATATATAAGCTGCACTGAACTTTGTTAAGTTAATTTCCTCTCAAGTACCAGCCACATTTAAACTTTTTTTTTAAGTTCAAAAGACATTGCTTAATCGCAGTTTTGCAACAACTAATCATACCATGCATACTGCTTGCTGATCTCAAGAAAATGTAATTTAAAATATCTGTCCTGCATAACTGTGATTATAATAAATCAATCAAGTGCGTGTTTGTTAATTGTATCGTTCTCTCATTGCAAATTATGAATGCAATTTTACATAGTTTTTTATATAAACTTGTGGTTACTAATAAATGTAAATGGTGTGTTTGTTCATTACTACTGAAATACATTACTGAAGGTTTCCTTTGTCCTTTAACCAACATCTAGGTTTAAACCAGTCATCATTCATTCAGCACTGATTACTTACTATTCAAGGGTAACCATCTTGCTCCACTGCCAAAATATCAATAAAGATGTGACCATCCAAACTCAATTACTTTACCTCATGTCTCATTCATCTATTCTTCTGTGAAACAACTATTTGTATGTTGATTATTACTGAAATATTTGCATTAATCATAAATTATTATTCAAAATTTTCTAATCAACTGCAGTACAGATTATCTTACCATCAAAAGAATATTCCAACTGCTGTACCTTAGTTTTTGGGAAGGCAGATTTCAAAAAATGGTGGGACTCTTATTAGGGTAAATACCATATACATTTTCTATACAGGTGAAACATGACTTTTTGATTGAGAACCACTGATACATAGATGATTACTTTCATTTAACATTTTGTGAAGTTTTATGAATCACCGTTTCTTCTTAAATCCAGAAAACTCCATACATAACAGAGGATTCCTCTTCTTTGCCTGTAAAATGTACAGTAACCTAATTGATCTATTTTGTAATTAGTCACATAGTTGTCATATATCTGTCTAGTAACCCTGAATTCAGAGTTAATAATTTTGTTTTTAAAGTCTTTTTGAAGCTAAAACTTAGAAACATTTCAAGAATACATAAATCCCCCAAAATTTTTTTTGGACTTTATTACATAACCTCACTCATGGTTTTTATGTTTTTAAATATGTTCTGCTTAATAAACACACATGACCCTGCTTCTCCTTGGAAATGTTACTGTCGTACAACTTCAAACTTTCAACATTATTTCCTGATGCACAGTTGGCAATGCTCGTTAAATTTGGGCTAATTGTAGTCAGCACGTTTATTACACAATTTTGCAGCCAGGAGATGGAATGCAGCTATTTCTCAAGTAATACGAACTTCCCATTTTAACTTCATGAACTTTGCTATACAAGTTTCTTACGTTTCACACTTACGTCATATCGGGCTTTGGCATTGGAAGTTCCAGAAAAACCACCATCCCTTGGAAAATGTCTTTTATGTGGTCTTGAAACACCTGCTAGGTTCTTAAGGGCAGGTGGGATGATGTATTCAGGCACATCTGCCAAGTGCGGTTGTATTTTTACCGTATGAAGAGCTTTGTCATGTCGCAATGACTGAAGATCCCGTGGATTATCTACAAAATAGCTCTGCGTCCAGACACAAATCATATATATATATGTATTCAAAGTATGTCTTAAGTTTGGCTAGATTATATACACGCCAATGAGTCAACAAATGCGACACACAGAACACTGGACGTACTTCATATTATAAAGCACACACTACATACACAAAATTACCTTAAGCTTCTGGCAGTTTAATACTTCTTGCTTGATTTCCTTTAGACGTGCCTCTCGTACTGCAATTCTTGTAACGGAACGCCACGCATCCTTTGAACGGTAACGGAATCCTTCCACTTCTTCAAGTTTAAATTGGTAAGCTCTAGGAATCAACGTTGATTTATTAAGGTAATGTAAACACATATGAAAGGGTGTATACTGTGAGAATTTAATTGCTCTATCTTCAAATTCACTGAGGAATAAACTGATTTTCATGCTGAATGCATGTGGGACGAGGGGTGACGAGGTATGATTACTGCCTCATGAAACAATGCAGCTGGACTTATGGCAAAATCAAAAAGCCAAATAGCTACATGAATCAAAATATTCTGGAGGTAATTTAAATATAGCAAAATTACAGTTGGAGTGTAGGACACTTGAGCTTGGGATAGCTCTTACTCATTCTTGATCTTGGCACTAGATGGGAGTGAAGAAGACGGAGACAATAATTCCTTCAAAACAAACATCCACAAAATTAGTGTCAAGACCACAATCCACAGTCACCATCATGGAAACCTCAAATCTCAGCAAATGGTTGTCATTATGACTGACCTGAACACTTTTTCATCTTCAGAACAGCAACTTCGTAGACGATCTTCGACATCCTCCATTAAAGGGCGTTCTCTTATGCTTACAAATGACAGTGCAGTACCCTGCAATGAAAATTATTCCTCAAATCACTAAATTTCAATGTTTATCACTCAATGGACCTCTCCCTTTCAGAAACTTCTGATGATTTCAAGGGACCACATATCACATATCTATACAAAAAAGAAACAGTATAATGTTAAGTAAGCTAAACTGTTTAATGTATTACCTCAAAAATGTTTTCAATTGGTTTCTCATCTTTCATTCTTAAGCTCCAATTTTTGAACCATTTAAATTCTAGATCACCTTAGATTCTGTTAAGTATTTACAATTAAGTTATACACAATTTTTTTAAAAAAAATCTAATTACAGAAATGTAAAAGCTAATTACATTTTAACTCACCTGGTGTTTACCCCTGGCAGTCCGGCCAACTCTGTGAATGTAAGAGCCAACATCAGGTGGGAAATCAAAGTTGATTATATTTGACACAAACTGAAAATCAATGCCCCTTGCAACACCAAATTCTTTGTCTTTCTTACGCTTTCTGAAATTAAATAAAAAAACAAATTGAGACACATGAATAATTACTGTTTCCACTATATAAATTGAAGATAGCCAAACCTGCAAGGAAAATTGAACGCTATGAAATTAATCACACTCATTAGTGATTGTACAAGAAAACAATTTGTGAAGCTGAGGCAGAAGTTAATATGATTTACAGCAATTCTACTCAAAGTGTGGTAATCAGACTTCCGTCTTTTATATTTTAATATATTTCTAACTATTTTACAATACGGATTTCAAGATGTGGCTACAGAAAATAAATAATTAATTTTTAGATAGTGGTCTTCTGTGCTATTACACCATGTAATCTGCTGGTTATATACGGTTCAGAGAAGCCTGTTGCCTCCATCTCCAGACAATATGAGGGATCTGAGCAAATTAAATATGTATGAAGAATTTAACAACCAAACCATATTAATATCAATAAAACTATATATACCCTTTCTTTCCGACATATCTCAGTGCATGTGGCTCATCCAAAGCTTTTTCATCTGAAGCGATAATGATGTCATACACTCCCTGGTTGAACTGATTTACGGACAAGCAACGTATGGTAGCGGGAAGCTCTGAGTTAAGAACGCAAGTTGGAATTCCAAATTGCTCTAAAAACAACTTCAACCTAAGTGAGAAATATTACATATTATTTCTAAAAAGGTCTAACACAAACATGTTCCAAATTATGACAATGAGTTTATTGTAAGGCTCCCCCGAAGGCATACAGCAAATGATGAGTTTAATAAACGCCTACAAATTATTAACATGCACCGAAGCAAATTGATATATACAACAAATCAGACTTTTAACTGGAACTATGAAGAATGTCACTGTATAATACTTCACTTCATATGACTCCAGTTAAAAATTGTTCTAAATACAACTTCTGAGAATAAAATTCTGAAAGATGATTAGTATAAAGTACCTGAAATAAAATGCCCATTTTATCTGAAAGTGAACCAGGTTAGTTACTTTGTGAATGGGCTACAAACAGAGTTTTGTTAGACAATGGTTCAACAGCTAGGTTTGAAACAAGAAAAATCACTGAGTGACTGGAATAGTTGCTTCATTTGTTTTTGTTTTTTGGGTGTGTATCTAAGATTTTTTATTTAATTTTCTTCGCCAACTAAATATTTACATACTTGTAACATCTATCCACAGAGTTGACAAAGATGATAGATTTTCCCCGTACAAGATGTAACTTCAGTAATGCATACAAAATGGCCGCCTTTTCATCTTCTTCAGCAGCCAAATGATAGTGTGTCAACTGAGTTGCCGGTGCCAACTCTGGTTCTTGAAGTTTCAGGATCACAGGATTGTGTAATACCATGCTTTTCAAATTCAGCACATCTTCCGATAACGTAGCACTGGCCAATATTGCCTGGTAGACACGAGGCAGATAACTAGAACACACACAATTAAGATTTAGTTATTTGTATTTCCCTTCAAGTGAATAACTAATATTATTAACCTTCATCGTACAGGAAAAGCTGATTTAAACTACCAGCTGGACTTGAACCCCAGGGTTAAAAGCTAGCAATATCATAGTACAGCCAGCTGGACTGTACATAAGACGCAATGCACAGTCAATAAAGGGTTCTTTATCAGCATGATTAATTAATTAACCACACATGCAAATCATCTTCAAAATATCAGAGAAAAAAAAACTGACTTCATTCCTAAAAACTGGCACTAAAAATAACAAATTCAATTATAATAGAACCAGCAGGTTAAATACTGGAAACACTAGAGTACAATAATGGACCATCCAGTTTAATCCAATGCTCATTACCTCAACCTAAGATACAAGTTAAAGATATGTAATATTAATTATAATCAATAAATATTTATTACCTTAAGACCTCCTTCATCTCAGATTCATATCCAAATGAGAACACAAGATCAGCTTCATCAACTACCAACACCTCAAGCGAGTCCTTAAGATTGAGATTTCGAGCTTTCAAGTGGGTTAGTGCTCTCAAAGGTGTACCCACAACAATATCGGGACGTTCAACCAAAATTTGGCGCTGTGCTGAAACGTCTACCTAAAAAAATTGTTTATAACAATTCTTTTAAAAAATTTCTGAATGAAGATGACGGGTCATTAAACATATTTCTGAATCTGTGCAGTACTAAACATTTTATTTGCCTCTCTTATGGCATGCATCATAGAACTGTTGTATTTTCTACTGCAGTCCACCCGGCCTCCTTTGCAATATTCTCTTTCCCCATGGAAAAGCAGCAATGTCATGCCACCACTCATACCCATTTAATGTTGAGGTTAAGAATGGCCAAAACTATCCACTCCCCACACATCTTCATGGACTGATGCTTAATTCATCACATGGAAAACTTTGTATTTACGTAACTGTATCGCTCACCATATAGCAGAGGAGTGGGAAATTCAATATTTTTGCAACACGACATGAGTATATAAATATGAAAGGGTAAGACTCAGTCATTATCATTTAATATGTTACAGAAACTTCATGTGGGAGGTTAAGCTGTTGACTATTAATATTAAACATAATGAAATAAGAAATAATGATTCATAATTCATTGTAAAGCTATTAATCCATTATCTGTGCATACTGTTGGGTCATTAACTGAACTTTAGCATCAACACTTTAAACAAATCAAAATTAAACTAACTTAACCTAAATTTGACAGGGGCAATGACTACACCAGATTCTGCTGGTTACCATAGTCTACGATGTGAAAGTATGGTGCACTAAACACAGAAGAGGTTGACATTAATTATGAGAAGTTTCAGAAACTGCATTCAACCCCTTACACTTTTACAACACAGTATTTCTAACTCATACATCATATGCCATCATAAATACTGAATTTTGCATTGCTGCCTTTCTATTTTCACTTTATCTTTGTAAGCAAATGTGATGAATAAGAGAATACTGAAGATGGTCATCTTCTGGGTTGATGCACCATGTAGTATGGTAGAAGTTTACTGACATCTCAAAGGTACTTGCTGCTTCCATCATTACCCTGATGATAGAGGCAGCGAATATTCAGAACATCTCCAAAGACAGCCATTTTCATACTTTCCACCATGATAACCTCAATCTCACAAAAGAATTACAAAACACCATATTATATTCATCATTACATGGTGCAGATGGATGTTATGTTCATTGGGTTAATTTAATTAATTTTGTAGCAATGATGCTATTGAAAAGACCAGAAATACAAGGATTTCTTATTGTGCATCCAAGAACAGAAAACTTTTTGGCAAACAGCATGACAATAGGTCAGGTAGAGTGGTGGAGGCAGACAGGAGGGGCAATGATTAGATATAAACTGCTATAACATCACACAAATATAGGCGTCTCCTTCCTCGTTATGTCTGTCCTTAAAATATTTCAGTTCAGTATGTCAATTTCTGAATTTGAACAGCATGATAATCTGTAATTTAATTTAAATCAGTGGTTATCAACCAATGGTTAACAGAGAAGTTGTGGTCCATGTTCTCAAATCCTTAAAGATTAAAAAATTACTTACTTGAGGTGATATATCAACACAGCAAATTTCACGAGAGCATTTTGTTGTTAACTCCATGAAATTTGTATGTATTTGTTGACAAAGCTCTTTACTTGGAGCAAGAATAAGTGCTTTTGTATTTTGCTCCTTAGACACCTGAAAATATTTTTTATTATAAATACCTATACATCAACTACATCAGGTTTAACAATGTCAAATATAAAAGAAACAAGTTAAGAAATTTATACACAGCATAACAAGCAATTCTGGCATGTTAACTCTGTTATGAAGTTCACCTTTTAATTTGCAAATGCTAACTCTTGACAATCTTGTACATAATGTAGAATGGGCAGAGCTACTTTGAAAGGACCTCCAATTTAAATCTCCATCAACATCAGTCCAAGAGTTTTTTTAATAATGAGAGGACAGTATACAAATCACATCTGTTTCATTATCTACTTTGAAGACTTATGATGTGATCACATCAATGTGACTAATCCTTCCTTTAAAAAGTAAATGTAACTCACAGAATGAAATCATGCAGTCTGGGGACACCTCCTGAAACCAGCTGATGTGATTTGTGCACCCTACATACATTAATTCACTCATGGGTGGTATATTTTGGAATGTGAAGGAATGAAGGAAAACGTTATAGATAACAACCTTCAGAATTTTATCTAATAATGGGTATAGAAAAGACTATCTGATGCTCATACAAACTTGCCTCTTACTAAAATGCCATATCATCTTATCAACTCTAAACTGCATTTATTAACAAAAACGTATCTTTACGGCATTCTGCATGAACATGTAATTTTCAGTGTACTTACTTGCTTAGAATTAAGAATCCTCTGCACAACAGGAATAGCAAATGCTCCCGTTTTTCCTGAGCCGGTTCGTGCTCGCAAAAGAACATCTTTCCCCTCCAAAAGAAGGGGTATAGCTCTTTCTTGAATTAGCGTTGGTTCAAGCCATCCAAGTTTTGCAACTGCCTAAAATATAAAATAAAATTAGCTCCCATATGTTCATTATAACGTATTCATTCGATCTGGTACTTACGAAAGTGAATATACAGTAACACAATGAGAATTTAACAAAACCTCGGACTATTCGTGAATCTCTATCAACTGAAATCACTAGCAGATTATATTAATGTCCATAGTAAATATCAACCAACTTTTAATATTCTGTCATCTAATTCCATTTCATGGAAATTACGTGGTTTAATAACATCTTCTTCCGCCATTTTACACAGCTTAGAAACAATAATTATAATTATACCACATGATACTTCGCACGTGTCATTAAAACCAACAGCAGATACGTTTATTCGCAACGTTGGTACCTACTGATTCAGATCAAAGACTAGCAACATCAATCGAGTTCGTTTTAATAGTAGGTTCACTGCCGCTGCTGATAGATAGCAGGACTATATATATGTGTGTGTGTGTGTGTATGTAGTCTTATCCTCCCAAAGATTTCCATGTTGTTGGTCGATTTTCTGTCGACTATCGATAAATTAGCAACCGTAACGATGTCGAATCCTGTCATTGGTCATTATCACTGATGCTCTAGATTTAAGCAAAGAGAAGGGAAACACATGGTTGTATCCTTCATCACAGGAACAAATACACTGGTAGAAGAATGGTTACAAGGTATCATATACGAGTATATTTCAAACTCGTTGATTTTGAAATGTTACACATTTGAATACACAATTTAATACACTGAAATAACTTAAAGATTCATTAATCTGTCTGAAATTATTTATGCACAACTCCACGTCACTTTTGCAACAAGGGTGTGGGTTCACATGTGGCTCTGAACCTGTCGTTTTCAGTTTGATTTCCAATTGGGATGTCTCATGATGAAGCTGATTATTAATATTTGTCTGCTTGTGACACTGTTTTGACTTAAATTCCAGTTGCGAGATGGCGAGTAATCTGGAACAAGAATATTAATAAATGCACTGGTAACAGCATGAATGCATTATGTTGTTTCAATGATGTGAAATAAAAAAATTCTCCCTGAATGGTGGATTTGTACCAAGCTAAAACGAAATGCACGGCACATTAAAAGTCCATGTTACTCACCTTCAGATGTTGCAAATTAAATTTTGGTACTGTGGCCAATTTGAAGTCCGAAATGGATTTGAGAGAATAACATTAAACAAAATAATTTCCAGCATTGTGTGAATCATCTGTGTTATCTATTACCAGACATTCGGAACGTGTTAATCCATGGCACGGACCCTTCTGCCTTGTCGACGAACCACTGCGGTTCGAGGTCGGCTGCTAGTAGTAGTTGAGGTAGAACATTCACCACGGGATTTTATGACGTAATCTGAAACATGGGTTTTCAACACATTTTCATGTTGATGTCAAAATATTCCGGTGTGAAGGCAATAACTGTGGAAACACTGAAAGTTGACATGTGATGACCTCTTGTAAACAAAATAATGAACCTCTGGTCTCCATGAAGACAGCAGCTTCTTGATTCTCGAGCAATTTCAATATTCTCAAGAATAACCCAGCATCATACCGATAGTTACTCTTAGTTATCTAACATTATTCAATGTCGTACAGCCATTATTGATAACTATTCGCACATAAAAAACAAAATGTGTGACTAGGCATGACCTGCTATAAAGCCGTGACGAGAGGTCACCATAAATGTTAAAATACGACGAAGATTTGAAAAATGTGTCCAAGAGTGACCAAGCGTGAGTAAGCGTGACAAAGCCTAACTAAGCGTGACCTGCTATAAAGCCGTGACGATATATGGCCAGAATTGTCGAAACGTAATCAATATTTACAAAGGTTGACAAAGCGTGACCAGGCGTGACTAAGCGTGACTGAGCGTAACTGGGCGTGACGTACTGTAACGGCGTGATGGATTGTGGTCATAAGTGTCGAAACGTCACAAAATTTTCAAAACTTTACCTAACCTAATAAAATGCACTAAATGAACCTAACCTAACCTAACGCAACGTAACACAACCTAACCAAACTTAACCTAACCTAACCTAACCTAACCTAACCCAACCCAATCTATCCTAACCCAACATGTCGAAACTTAATATAACGTATTCCAAAGAAGCCAAAATTAACCGAGCCTTACGTAACATAACGTAAGCGTGCAGAGGCGTGACTTAGTGATCACGCGTTTAGAAGCGTGACAAAGCGTGACCTGCTTTTACCTCGTGACAAGGGATCACCATATTTGTCGAAAAGTGACGAAGATTTTCAGATCACCACCAAACGTGACCAAGCGTGACAAAGCGTGTCTAGGCGTGACCTGCTATCAAGCCGTAACGAGAGGACACCATAAATGTTAAAATACGACAAAGATTTGAAAAATGTGCCAAGCGTGACCAAGCGTGAATAAGCGTGACCTGCTATAAAGCCGTGACGATATATGGCCAGAATTGTCGAAACGTGATCAATATTTACAAAGGTTGACCAAGCGTGACCAGGCGTGACTGGGCATGACTGGGCGTGACGTACTGTAACGGCGTGACGAATTGTGGTCATAAGTGTCGAAACGTCACAAAAAGTTTCAAAACTTTACCTAACCTAACAAAATGCACTAAATGGACCTAACCTAACCTAACCTAACCCAACCTAACCTAACCCAACCTAACCTAACCCAACCTAACCTAACTTTTTGTGTCTTATTGTTTTGTTCTGTCTCATTGTTCTGTTGTTTCTTATTGTTTTTGTTGTCTTATGTTTTGTTGTGTCTTATTGTAGGACCACTGCCACCGGGTAAAAACCCATTTGCAGTCAAATAAATAATAATAATAATATATGGCCAGAAATGTCGAAACGTGATCAATATTTACAAAGGTTGTCCAAGCGTGACCAGGCGTGACTGGGCGTGACGTACTGTAACGGCGTGACGAATTGTGGTCATAAGTGTCGAAACGTCACAAAAATTTTCAAAACTTTACCTAACCTAACAAAATGCACTAAATGGACCTAACCTAACCTAACCCAACATAACCTAACCTAACCTAACCCAACCTAACCTAACCAAACCTAACCTAACCTTACCTAACCCAACATGTTGAACCTTAATCTAACGTATTGCAAGGAAGCCAAAATTAACCGAGCCTTACGTAACATAACGTAAGCGTGCAGAGGCGTGACTTAGTGATCACGCGTTTCCAAGCGTGACAAAGCGTTACCAGGCGTGACCTGATTTTACTTCGTGACAAGGGATCACCATATTTGTCGAAAAGTGACGAAGATTTACAAAGCGTGACCAAACGTGAACAAGCGTGATAAAGCGTGCCTAGACGTGACCTACTATAAAGCCGTGACGAGAGGTCACCATAAGTGTTAAAATACGACGAAGGTTTTGAAAATGTGTGTAAGCGTGACCAAGCGTGCGTAAGCGTGATAAAATGTGACCTGCTACAAAGCCGTGACGAGATATGGCCAGAAGTGTCGAAACGTGACCAATATTTACAAAAAGTGACCAAGCGTGAATAGGAGTGACTGGGCGTGACGCACCTAAAATATTAATATATACTATAGGAACCGCTAAATCTACCAGATATTTTTATTATTTTTATCAGCTTCGTACTTATGCGCTTGAAATAAATAACCCGAAATTTATAAATCAAAATTGTAACTCTATCATAAACGGTAACTGAGGTATGGTATTTGGAAGGTTGATCTTTCGTACGAAGACACCGATTGTCCTCTTAGGATGGAGATTTTCGATCGCTTCTTGCCTCTTACAATGAATATTCTAGGACAACAATAAATTTTGAATGGATAGAACAGATAAGCCTATTATACACGTCTTTTATTTTAATATTATCCTTCTACCGTCGCCTGGATTCCCCAGGTGGTAAGCCTATTTTCAACAATGTTTAGTAGGCGTTTCAACTTCGTGATATTTTTCTACTTCCGCATTACAATGCCACTATAAGTTGTACAAGAAAGTAACTTTTCTTGTTGTAGTGAAACCGTTAATTGTCAAAACGTGCTGTATAAGCTCTGTTAATTTACACTAATGCGGCTCTAAGAAGGTAAAATGATTCACTACAATGTCAATACCACTTACAATTACAATACGCAGATAAACGGACAGACTGAAGATGGTTGTCTTCTGGGTTGTTGCATTGTGTAGTCTCTTAGTACATGACAGACGTTTCATAGGTGCTTGCTGCCTCCATCAACACACTACTGATGGAGGAAATAAACGCCTCTGAAACGTCGGTAACATCTATGAGACTACACGATGTAATACCAAAGAATAACCTGAAATATGTGTGTCTTGTCTGTGGAACGTAGATTAAAAATGATCAGTGACAGACCCGAATATGTTAAGCTTATTTTTTTTATTAATCTTACCCTTATCATGCGTGCAGTTGTAACAGCTGAGATGACACTCGTTGGGAAACATGTCTCGGTCCCCAGTGGAGTCCTCAGCGCAAACTGGTTCAAATTCCCGTGGGCAATTACACTTGCATCTAATCACAGTCGCCGACTCGTAGGAATCCGGCATTAGCACCACAACACCTGCAAAATATATGCTTAAGACAGAGATAAAAACAAGTAGCCATGTTATTCGTAACAGAGACACTTTGTCGTCATTGTTAAAGCAAACAAAGACTCACTTAGGAAGATAATAATCCAATGGTTGTTCATTTTGTTCTGGGACTATGAATGTAAGAGTGCAGACAGAGTTGAGGCGAAATGTAAAATGCGAAAATGCTATCACTTGTTCCGATGTAATCTAGAACTTCACTGTCCGGCAGTCCTTAGACGCTGAAGGTCAGAATTATGTCACGTGCGCAATTTCCTCATGCGCGTTGTGACCACGTTCAAAACAGTTCCTACTCTGTCAGGGCCGACCTGTCGGGGTGGGCGAGCTGGGTCATTGATATTCAACACTTGTATTTTGCGAACAATGTTTATTTTTCAACTAAACGAATCAAAAATGTTTGTAGCTTGATGCTCTCTGCGTGTTTTATTTTTGATTTAATGTTCTTCTTGCCTTGTCCTTTCCTGGTATTTTTGACACCAACTCTTAGAAGATGAAACCAAAATCCAACTGATCACGGAGTCCTGCGAAAAGCGCAAAACGTAGTTCCTTGCTATGTTAAACCATTTCTGCGTTAGCTGGAATTCGCAAACAGAGCCTTATATAACTAGAGATGTGTTTACGCTAACGGGGTTCATGTCTAAGCTGAAGGCCTTGACATGCTCAGAGTAGGGGCTATTGCCACCTAGTGAAAGGAAGACCCCCCCCATCAGGAAACGTGAAGACCATTTAGGAGAAAATGTAGCCTAATATTTGAAGAAATATCGTCCTTGAAGACGGATACTGAAGTTATATCTTTAAAATAAGCATGGAACAATGTGCACATTCAGATTGGATACAAACTGTGAAATAAAAGAACTAAATAATATATATTTGCTATAAGGAACGAATTAAACTTTTACAGAAGGGATTTGTCAGGAGGTCTAAACAGAACTTCAGATAAAATATTATTTAAAATGTATATTAAAAAGCAATTCACGAGGAAAAATATATTTTGCTAGACAATATAAACCTGAATGAAAGATACCATTTGGGAGACCTAGACGTAGATGGAACAATATTAAAACGGACATCCGCCCTTTCATATTCAAGCTATGAGGAAGAAGTCGGTTTTATAAACACCACAAATATGGATTCTAAATAAATGACAGAACATTTTTGTCTTACCCTTTGCATCTATTCTTTTTCGACACAATTTTCCTCTTCTACTTGTCTTTATTCTGTTCTTCGTTTCCTTCTTTTCTTTCCACACATTCCTCTTCAATTTACATTTGGGGATTCAAAGGATTTATCCCTTTAAGACGTGGTCTGGATTCTTCTAAGGATAGAAGCCAGTGGCGGACTCTTGTGGACATGGAACAAAGGGTTAGATACAAGGCGGGGAGTTTGTTGACCAGGTGAGCGACTGTTAGCTTTTAAAAAGCACATTTGTCCATGGGGTAAGTTAGTTTCGAAATAATGTCCGAGACCTTCACAATCTGGATATATGCCAATGTCACTGGTTGATCTGTGTCATTTATCTAATTAGCGCTATCTTTTGGGTAAAACCAGAACACGATATCCGATTTCGCTGAAACGCAATAAGACATGTTTTTCCTTATGATCTAGAGCAGAGTTTACTCGATTGGAAGAGTAAGCAATAAATCAATTCCAGATTTCGCATCACACCGATATTCCTGTTATGTAATCGAAGGAAAGTTTAGTACTGCACAGAAAATAGTGAACTTCATTTCGGTAATGGCAGCACTTAGCAACTTGTATGAAGCAAAAGTCAGAAAACAACACGCAGACATTCGTATTATCGTATATTTTAATTTTTTTACAAGGTTGTTGTTAGTATTATGATGGTTATTTATAAGGTTAGAGTTGCTACAGCTGGGTGTGATAGAATTCGTTTTGATTTTCCTCGTTTTTTCCCGATTGTTGATTCAGTTGGTTTCAGGTTTTTGGTGTAGCTGAGGGTGATAATAGATCATTACACATATATTTCAGATTTGTGTTGTGTTGACACACTTATTTTATGTAAGTCATGTACAAAACAGAGTTCAAAACGAGATATGTTGTAATTAACAGCCCCATTTGAGTCTGATCTCATTTATTTGACAGAAAATACATTTTATTATTCAGACAAGCGGAAAGAATCAGAAATTCAGTTTAAAAACTATAATAACTCAATCTTTCTTTTATGGTGAGAAATTGTCAGACAGACGCTCAATCTCCATGTTGGTGGTCGATTTCTTGTCGACTATCAACAAATTCCCAGCTGTAAAGATGTCGAACCCTTTCATTGTCACTGATATTCTGCACAGACGTAAATAGAAGTGCAAATGTATGGTTATATCCTTCATGGGAACAAATGCACTAGCAGAAGAAGAGTTACAAGGTTTCATATACGCGTATATTTTAAGATAATTATTTTTTTAAAAAATTACATATTTAAATAAACAAAATAAATTAATTCATATAAATAACTTAAATGAAAAATTTACTAATCTGCCTCAAGTGGTTTATGCACAACTCCACGTTGTTTTCACAACAAGGATGTTTTTTTTTCACGTGTGGCTTTAATAAGTTCGTTTTAAGTAGATGATTGTTGGCATTTCCCTGCGATATTATTATTGTTTTGATTTGAAATCCAGCTGCAGTATGGTGAGTCATCTAGAACAAGAAGAATTAATTACTTACTACTACTACTCAGGATTATAACAGAGCTTAAATGCCTCTACAATTATAAATATTTCAAAGGGTTCATACTACAAAGGAAAGGTGTAGTCCAATAGATTACTTTAAGTTTTCAAGTTGTGTTTTTTCATGTTAACCATGTTGTGCCGGCTAACACTTCGGATAAAAGTGTTATTTTCGTTATTTAGTGGTGCTCTGCACATTAAATCACAGCAAAACCGATCATACAAAACGTATTTTTCACGAGCTCTAGCTCGCCGCGAGTGTAAGCCTTAACTAGTTGGCTAACAACGCCTAATGACGCATTTTATCTGATCGATTGTGCTGTGTCCCACTGTGTTGAGAACCACTAAACCATAAAAGTGTGGTTTCATGAAGTCTTATCCTCTACAGCTAAGGCAGATTGTGCACTATACGTCATCTTTATGAGTATTAGTTTCCTACTTACCATTCCACGTACGTATGTTTATACAAATTCATGTAATTGGACGTAACATTTATAGAAAACTGCATCGTTAATAAAAACCAATTGTCTTGTCTGGTGGCCAGACGTTTATGTGTGGATTGAATTTCCTAGGCCTCAGCCTCTGTTTCTCAGTACTGGCACGGCTGATTACCCGAAAAGACTTTCATTTTGTCGTTCACCTTGAAAGATTGAAATATTTACCTAAAATCAGTCACCCAAACTGAGGCATACCGTTACATTCCTACGTCACAACGTAAAAGACAATTATGAATCGGTTTGAGTTGGTGAAATTGGCAATTGTTGGAAATGCACTTCTATAATTTCGGGAAGTCACTGATAATTGTAGTGAAAATTCAGACGAGACTGAAATTAAAATTTAAACGTACTGATTAGTCAGTTTCAGGCACCAATCTGCTTATGAGTCTTACCTGAGAACTATATTTCGGCCATCAACATGGCCTATTCAGTGAGATTCCTAATCCTTCACTGCATTTCGTCTACAGAGCTTCATTGTTTTCAAGGGCTGCATTCTTCTCAACACTGTCCATAACAAAGCGAGTTAGTCTGTTGAGACGATCGTCTGAATTATTTCCCGTGTCTGTAAGAGATTTGTTTTTGTGTGACTGACAATCGTGGTGTCTTAACAATGAACCAAAAAGTCTGGAAAATAATTTAATATTATATATTTAATGTACTTTCTATTATATCTTTAACAAACGTGTTACCATTGTTTTCATACCATAAATAGATGCTGTTGACGAACAACAGCTACATTCCCTATTCACGTTCTGCTATTATTCTTGTGTACAACACTTTTGAATTTTTGTTTCGCTCTTTTCTGATATATAATGCTACAGCAAACCAGTTTACACTGCCTGGCTAAACCTGTTCAGTCCCGAACACCAACTTTTACTCAGACGTATCTAGAAACAATTGAATTATGTACTTCGCTCACCTTCCTTGGACAGAAGAACTTTACTGTCCCCTCCAGTTGAACCTCCAGAGTCTAGTTTGGGCAGGAAAAGCAGGACACAAATTACTGCTATAAACTTCACGATCATCTTAAAGATGAGCACTTTTAGAATGATCTTACATAAAATCGCGAAATCCAATCCTCTGAAACTATTGTCAGGGGCAGCATACGGCGCTCCGTAGGTGTGAGGCAAGGGGTGTCCATATGGCAATAGTCCTGAGGGACCAGTGGGTGCTGACGGACCCGAAGGAGGGCCATAGAAAGGATGAATATGAGGACCAGGAGAACTATAAGAAGGAAACGGTGCACCGTACTTTTGACTCGGGGAGTTGCCGTGAAAGTCTGCATAAGTATCGATGTAAGTGTCCCATCTTTCTCGGGTTCTCGCCTTCTCCTCTTCTGCCGCAGAACAAGACAGACGCCTCAACAGCAAAGTTAGCCAAAATATAACCGCGTGTTTCATAATTGACATCTCGCTTTATTCCCTTTTTTTTTCTGAAAAAAATAAAAGATAATTCTGATAATATTGAGCATTTCTTCAAAAAAACGTTCTCTCTGCCCGCAAGTAAAACGCTGATATTAATCAAATTTCGATGTTGAATCGTGGCGTTTTCGGAAATTTTTTTTGTATTTTTTTGTTCCTGGAGCCTTTTATTGTTTGTTCTGAATATGTTTAACTGACTTTACACATGTAACTGTGCTCTCGTTAAATAACGCTATCGACAATTATATTTGTGTTTTAAGGTTGTGAGTGTTACTATAATGCCCTATATCGCTTCTGATTAATTTTTAATATGATCATGATAATAAATGAGACCCTGCAAAAATAGAAATCGAAATGAAAGCACAGAGTCTAGTTCCTCACAACATTGGATACAAACAATACTTAATCACATGCATCCATGGCGGTGACTAATTCTTGAGAATATGATAACTGCTAAGAAAAAACTTCTTACGTGCCATGGATTAACCATTAAGCCTCTTGTATTTTCAAGAACCGGTCACAGGAATATATTCAGAGTCACCTATATTCTATCCACGCCTTTACTCACTGTGTTCCATTGTTATTATTTATTATTATCATTATTTTTGTTTTAGTGTCTTAGCTTTCTTATTTTGCTGGGTAAAGAAACATGAGCACACTAACCCAGGCCTCATATTATTTAAATTATGCATTTCGAGTTGTACATTGTTTTACTTCGGTTGAAGAAGCTCGGAAAGAAGGTCTTGAACTTGAAAGCAAAAGGAAAATTCCCAGAGGAAAACGAGATCAAGATAGGAAGGAACCACAAGTTAGGAAATACGTCAAAAGGAAGGAACACAGGCAAATGGTAATCAGGCGACACTCAATTGGAAACGTCACTGATAATGTCGCCATTATTATTGTCGTTATCAAACTAAACTGTATCATATCATAAACACTGTTTGTCTTTGTGTTCCAACTGAACCAATTACGTAATTTTTTCCATTTTTATTACAAACAATAATGGAGTGTCTAGTCATTCTGTCAGGCGTGCCAATGCACCGAGTATCACAAGCCACTTTATATTATCAATAGAATTCCTTTGTATAACGCTAGTCAACATATGTTTCCTTCTTATATAATTTATTATTTATTTACTTGTATTTATTATGTATTTTAAGTTCTTGCCTGCAACAGAGAACAGATGTTGGAAAGGACTATAATAAATTAAGGCGAATTATGATTATATTTATTATTGTTGTGTTCCTCTCTCGTGCTGTAATTAGCCTCCTGGCTGTTGATGCAGTACACTATCAATAAAGAATTGAATTATTATTATTATTATATTAAACAGTGTTATAATCGATAGGATATGCTAAAATAAACTTGTCTACTTATGTGAATAGCACTGCTTATACGCTGTGGAAATTGCTCTCGAATAACAGAAAAAATTCAAATTGTGTCATCTCAATTACAGTATAAATACGTATGTGTGCCATGAATGTAAATGCTTTATGCACTTAGTTTTAAAATGTATGTAATTAGTTCTTCGAATCTTCCCCCCTGCCCCCCAATACGATCAGGTCCACGTTCCGTTATGTGTGTGTGTGTGAAGGTATTTCAGTACATACGTGAACAAACTGTAAATAGAATGTGATGATTCGTCAAGTTTGCATAACGGATATAGATTAAATGTAGGATGGATATCCGAAGGGAGGAAACCACTTGGAAGACCTAGACTTAGATAAAGGATAATATTAAAATGGATATCAGAAATAGAATAATTTTTCGTCGCTTTCGACGTCTACAAATGAACTTATGAAAGTCGATGGCGTTATCAGGAACCATGACGCATAGTTTTGACCCCGTGTCTTGGGTTTGGAACCTCTATCCATGTAGAGATATTAATAATAAATCATTCCTTACTCAAAGCATTCGGTTTAAATACAAATTTTCTTCTCATTTTTATACTTCATTCTTCTCAAATGAGCAAAACTTTAACGTGTATGTACAAAAACAAATGTCAGCTATAGCAAAGAAAAACAAACAAATAATTGACTGACCTTCTTTTGCTGTCTCCAGGCATTCAGTTGACTGTACTGCATTGTGACAACACAGTATACCCATTCAATAAACAATTAAGTCACATTTGACTATCATTCATGCACTGCCACACTTTTATTTTGACCGATCACATTCCTTACGAAGCCACAGTACAACTAACTGGCACGTTCCTTTAATTAAAATATATTATATTTGTACTGTTACAGCAAACTTGCCTACATCGAATTACGACTATACAATGTACAACCGTGAATTAGTTTTACCGTAGTTTTCCTCTGCCTCTACATTGGATTGCTGTAGTTTGTATCAACTACAATTGGTTCTCCCACATCCATTTTACGATAAAATTCTGACCCGTTAAGTCAGCTCCGTCAAGTAAACAAATAAATTTGATTGCCTTATATAATTCCATGTTAACAGTCTAACCTCCAAATAAATCGCCACAGCAACGAATACCAGTCACGCCGATAATAGATATCTGCACTAGACTTACTCTTTAACACAGAATGGCTGCTCTGCTATTTATTACGGAAAGTTAGGTCATATCACGATTCTCAGCAGTAGAAGACGAAACTTCCATCATCACAAATTAACTTTATAATTGCAGTTACTTATCCTATAATTTAATATGCAGGCTTACGTATTTTAACGATGGTAACAATCGATTCAGATTCGTCGATGTGAAACGAGTCATATCTCGATTAAGTACGTAGTAATGAAAATATAGAAGAAATATAAAAATAACTGTTTTTTTTTAATTTTTGTCCGAGTGCAAAATTCGAAGTTGAATAAAAACTTTAATTCAATCTGTATCATCGCCTACAGCAGAAATAAACGTAAATTAACACTTCGAACACACGAACTCCAGCACGTACAACCATTCACAAGCAAAGCATTGGTTCCACTACATTTAAAGTCATAATCGATCAACAGAACCGGAAATTCGCTTTATATCGATAATCTACTTCACCCACAGATAACAATGGAACAACCTGCCCTCTATCACTCAAACATGCCCATATGGACTGTCGCTGGCTTATGTTATCGACAACAACGAAAATATTATCTATGCCATCAACTGATGAATCTATCGAGTTAAAGCCTGCATAACTCCATTTTATGCGGCTAGGCACAAGAAACGTCTCCAATCTTTCGTCTACAACTACTTACCAGCTCTTCCTTCTCTTCGTGTTCTAATTAACTAGCTGAACCACCGTCTTCTAGGTCGTCCCATGGATCTCTTTCCATAAATTTGTAATTTTAATGCGCTTCTAGGTACAAACCCTGCATATGTGGCCACCAAAGAACACACGTAATTAACGAATTTTTAAAATGTTAAACTTTCTGTATCTAGAAAAAGAGTTTTTTTTTAAAAAATTTTGAGCAAGCCACTTATAAATGTTATGTTAAAATAATGGCTTCTATTATGTTCTTCCTTAAATGTTTAACCAGAAGTCTTACAATATTACTTAATTTGGGGGGAGGAGGTAATATTGACTTCAAGATGCCAGGGTTAATGCGTGAAACTATACCACCACTTCCCCATACTCCTTCATGGTATGGTCTTCAATAAAATTAATGCATATTATAAAAAATAAAGATGAAATAAATGTGTCCCTGTACTTAACCATAACGCCAAAATAGTATAAATTTTAGTAAAGGTTAACCTCGACAGGCCATGGTTCTGACTACAAGTAATTAAATAACTAAATATCCCAATATCTTCCTGTTCATATCGTTATATCCAACTTACGTCCACAAAGCACTTACGATGTTTCGTCAAATTCTGCAGTGATGAGCGATATCACATCCTTATAGCAGCAAGACGTAACAACAGGTAAATTGAACAGAGATACGATATACATCAGGGACACAATACACGCGGTCACTGTGCCAAAATTACGTGCCCATTGTCTTCTGACCAATGGTCACATGACAGTCTTACTGTCGATCCATTGGTCAACAGCTCCAATGACCGTGGAATATTAAAATCTAGTAGGAGTCTCGCTGCATCAGAAAATATTTTGAGCTTAAAGACGATGTTAACAGCATTCTTTTGCCATATTCCCTGCTCAAAATAATCCATCAGTTATGCCGAAAATGTTTCTACCATCTAACAACTGAAAGGCTTTTAAGAATTGTTACTCCATTCGTACATTATTACTGTTTCTTAATTATTTTAGTTTATTGATACAAATTGCAAAAAACTTTGTGTTCAGCATGGAATAAAACCATGACAGTTAAAATTTCTATTCCATGTGTAATGTTAGTAACGAGCTTAAAATTATATTGTTACGTCACGTCTTCTGACGCTGACGTAGTCCACTATTTTGTAATGCCATCAGGTGCTAACCACTACCGTTGCCAAGAGCGGTAAATAATATCAGTACAGTTACTCTGCTTGATAGGCCAAGCCAGAAACAAAAACGTATCAGTAACAATATGTGTTAATTTAAATGAAATTTGGCGTTTGGGGAATCTACACTAAATGTTGCAGGACTAACAAATTTGATCGTGTTTTTTTTCAGTATGACTCCTAGTTTACAATAAACCAAAATCAAGCTTTACCAACTTTCTCAAAAAAGGTTTATCGTGGAAAAAATTAGCACATTATAATGAACTGCACATTTAATTCAGAATTTTTCGATAAAATGTACATTTAACTAAATACAATTGGAATAGTTTATAGCCATGCATACATGAAACTCCTTCGAGAGTTTCAGTAATACAACTGCAAATCTTCAATCCTAACCGAAGTCAGCAGAATTATTTAAATTAATTAAAATATTAGGTCTGTATCATAAAATTGGTTCCTCTCTCTCTACACACACATATATATATATATATATTACTTATAAAACGAATCTAATACAATGGAAGTATTTTCTTGCTAAATTTGTTAGCATAGAGTTGTTTCAAGTTAAAATTTTCCACTCACGTACTACAGACAGATGGCTGAGAGCAAGTACACGTAGACGGGATCAGAATATACTTAAAATCATGGGGTCAGCTGCTCTTCCGTAAAGCGGCTAAAATTAAATTCACCAGATGACATGTGATGTGCATAAATTTCTACTCTGAATATTTAAGTCATGTTCCCATTATTCTTGCTTTATAACAGGACCAGCTTAAACTTTCTGCCCTTCCTGTTCACATAACAGGACAGAACTATGGAATTTGCATACTGTAAACTAAAAACAAACAACATAATCATCATCAAGCTTTAATCGTTTGAAACCGAAGTTTGTCTAAATAATATTTAAGAATTCATTCTGAAAAACAACAACTTTCAATTACCAAGATCAGTTATTGTACGAAGAATCAGAAACGACATCCAGAAAAATTACATTTGTTTTTCTCAGCTTGCGTCAATTAATAAATACCAACACTACAAATGTTACTACAGTTATCGGTATATTTAAGGTGTGATAAAGTTTAAATTGTTGGCCGCAATACAAAAGGGTAGAAAACTGGTGCAGGTGCTAATTGCAGCATTGGTATTGGTGCTGTATAAGTGATTACTGGAGCTGGAACAGCGAAAACGTCTTCACACCGACCACTGAACAGGGCTTCCAGACCTGAGTACACAATACACGGGCGCATTAGTCTGTGGTTGCTTATTACCAGCAAGAGTGGATATAAGAGGATGCAGTGATGTCTATTCACTGCTGAATGAATTTCCGACGTTTCGTAAATTAGTAAACAGATCGAAGTACAAGCTAAGTCACAGTCGATTTACAGAGTCGTACGACATGAAAATCCGAGGTCTCCAGAGTAATTGGTAGCTGTCCACCTTCCAGGGTTTACTCAGTAACTCTCTTCAGAAACTCATTCCATACTGACATTGTATTCAGCAGCCGTGAGTAGTTTCGAGTCTAAAAGAACGGATGATTACAAACTCAGATTGAATATGGGTTTTCTTACCTGGTTTCTCGCATTGGGAGCATCGTAATTTGCATTCGTTCTGGTAAGTTTGACGGTCGTTTCCACATAATGGTTTAAATTCATCGGAACACGCACAACCTACTTTGCAGTGGACTGAGCCTAACTGAGCACGAGTCAATGCAACCAGGGCCACTGGAATTAAATAGACGTCAGAGGCAGGGCAAACGTATGGACAAAATACGAACATTTAAACCTTTACTATTTCTTTTATCTTTACAAAAAAAACAAAACAAAAAAACTTGCACACTGTAAAGACTGAAGTAATTCAGAATAAGAACAAGCATTGAAATCAATCGCTTTTTTTACATTTACTTCAAAACCACTTATTTAAAAAAATACAACGAACCATTCTTCCATTTCAATTCGCACAAAAATATCTAGATAAACAGATTCACTAAGACGTAGAAATGTGGTTGGAATGCGTCACAAAACCCCTTCCTTTGTTTGTATTTCGTTATAAAATAATCTCTCCAGACTTCTAACATCGCATGAACTTACCAACACACACAATGCAAAGCTTGTTCATTCTTGATGTCCCATTCGATCCGCAACCTCACAGAATAAAAGACAAAATACTATAAACACGTAACGGTCAGTAAGTTTTTATACAAAGCTGCAACTGATAATGTCTACGATTATATCAGTTTCAAAAGTCGAAAAACTATTATGCCAGTCCTCATTAGTTTTATCATCAAAAAGTTTCGATCATTTGTCCATTAACTTAATGTATAAGTTAATACCATCAAGATTTTGTAACACGAAGTTTGTCTGCTCTAAACGCAAGACTTTAAATTCCTAATGGACTTCTGATCATTAGGCAGGCTTGTTATGTTTGTTTGCTGTGCTCCACCTTAAGTCCAAATTCACTGATAGGTACACACAATTTTTATCACGTAAAATTGTTAGGAATGGCTCCACATTTAAAAGCAGCAATGTCTAGGATATATATTTTCAACTGCGGTCAAAAGTATCTAAATGAATAACATAAAAAGTAAACAAAAATAATATACAAAGTTTCGTAAGTGGTTTACGAAATAGCACAGAAGAATCAGTTTCAAAATCTCCTTCCGCCTTTTAACATAACTGCATCAGTCTGAAGATGGAGGCAGCAAGGACGTAGGAAACGGTGGTGAAAACCCAAAAGGCCATAATCGATGTCACATGTTTATTTTTTCGTTTACACATTTTTGTCTCTTGTGCTTAAAAGACAATTAAAACACAAGAAAAATAAATATTTAAAGTTGGGTAAATGCAGAATCATGGAATAACAGCTGACAAACTGCGAAGTATTTTATTACTATCTGAATCAGTCATTTACGTAACTTGTAATGTCTATATAATACAATTTCTTTTTACAAGATTAAAGCTTGGTTTAAAAACCCCAACACAAAAATTGGAATGACCCATCTATCCTGTTGAGACCTAAATGTTTACACTCATGCACATAAAATACACCAAGTGTATACAATGATTTAAAATGATCGCTAAGGAATGTTTCTCATGAAAATTAATTCTCAAAATTAATCGATTGTAAAATATCGATGTCGCTACTTAAGTGAAGCTTCCACTGCGCCATACTGCGTTGTCAACATACGTGACTACTCTTGTAGAACTTCTGCAGTGATAACCAACTGCACCAGCTCTATCATCACATCAACACTTACTATAATTCACTAACACTAATCTCAGCTCTGTAAACTAGTGTAATTATAATACGTTTTAAATAGGATAAAATTCGAGAAAGACTGTCACACAAAATGATGAACACTAAGTTACGTATGTTTAATATGCGTACAGTGTCTCACAGAAGCAAACTCCATCTTGCGGGTGGATTTACGCTAGACAATTGACATAATTAGTGCATTACAGAATTGTTTAGAAAATAACAAGTACAAACAGAACCCAGGAAGTGGGCTCGCACGCAAAATAATTTAACTTTCCGAACAGTTATAATTAAAGTCATCCACGGTCCACAAATCTTCACAGGACCAATCAAACATATTGATCCCACGTTATCGCCGAGATCTCCAGATCAAAAAACAAAAAAACACGATCTATTACTTTTCCAAAATAGCTCAGTACTAAAAGTAGATCAACTTCCCAAATGGGAATTACCAATTATTGAACACAATATATTTTTAATGACTGTATCGAGGAACGCGTGTTTTTGGCGGTAATAAACAGACGCCTTTTACCCGCACACTTATATACACATTAGTTATAACGCAGAATCAAATAAGTTATTTGTGATACTTCACGTGTTTATAAATAAATCTATACAACATAACACAAATTCAATGATATTTCTCAACTTTGGGGGGCATGACATACGAAACAAAGGGTTCACTGGATGGATACATATGGATGGAATAGGTTAATCTACGGGTTTTCAGATGCTGCGCGCGCGCAAGTGACACGAAACGTATTATGACCCCTCTATTAAAAATCATACGAAATTCAAGTTTAAAGTCAGTGTACAAACAAAGATAAAATTGTAGATTAATTTCTTGAAAAAGCTTCTCATCAAAGTTAATTCTCAGAATCAGAATGCTAACCAGTTTTCCTTATTTGAAAACGTGACTTACCCATAACTCGCGACGATGTATACTTCTGAAAAAGAATTCTTTCACATTTATGACGAGGAGTCAGAATTACAGATTTGACTTCTCTCCAAACACTTAAATACGAAAGGTCGTTGCAGTTAAGAAACAAAGGAAACACACGTGTCACAGTTGTTTTTTTATACCACTTTGTTCGACGTCTCACAACAAACACGAAGATGATAGGATATAAATATATATTGATGCGAAATTATTTCTAAATAACCCAGGGTTTAAATTTCACGAATATCACTATATTCACGTAATATAAGAGTCCACGCACAAACACGTAGTCTAGTACAACTTGACTACGTTTCACGTTACGCTACGGAAGCAACAGCTCTGATATCCAATAGAATTCTAGCCCTAATTCTTCTACATAAAAAGAAATAACACAAACACTTCTTACAAATACAAATACACTGCTATAAATAAGGACATAAAAATAGCTCAAATGTCACACAAGAAGAAAGACGACACCACTTTATTAAAAACATTTTTTTTCAAGAATATTTAGGCAGATTGATACTAACAATTAAAGCTATCTGATATCTCCTGTCACGTAACTTGCAAGCAGTAATCTTTATTGTCAGCAACCCATTCTTCTGTGCGGAACAAACAAAAGTCTACAGAAACAGAAGAGATTTCAAATCCAGCGTAGCAATTATCAACGAAATACACAA